GGGTATTCTGTTTGTAATAATTGTTTGGATACACTATATTTTTAATATGCTAGTTGTGATAATTTCATGCCAAGTAAAAATGTCCATAGTCATATTTTATGTTCCTAAAGTAACAGAATTACTTTCAATCTGGAAAAGAAAAAAGAAGTGCTAATGTAGCATTTTTTCCATTTTTCTGAAAATTTCCGTTTCCCCCCGAAAAAACCCTGGGTTTTTCCCCAAGCTTCAAAATTTCCAGAAATTTTACATCTCTAGGTAAGAGTCAAAGGAGTCATGATCCTTAAAAATGTTTTCTGGTCTTCATCACAGCAAAAATAAATAATGCTTCACCGGCTACAAATTCATAATGACTGGATAAGTATTTCAGTGCCATTTTTCGTATTGCCAGTAATCTTTAAGATTTTTACTGTGTAGATACCTCACTGCAGCTAACTCCATCCCAAACCGTCATGCAAAACGGATAATTATTACTTCTATGACACAAATGAAGGACGTAGGCTGTGAGCAATGTTTCCTCTAAGCTGTGGAGTCTTGTGAGCAAACATTCACTTTGTGAGCGACCGGCATGAAAGTTGTGAGCGAGCGATTTGGCTGCTGCATAAATCAGTTCTCTCTGGAGCCATCTTCCTGAGCTCAGACAAAAAAGTGTGAGCTGGAAGCTAAAAAACTATGAGCTAGCTCACATTAACTCATCTTAGAGGGAACACTGGCTGTGAGTGATAAGCCCAAAGTCAAAGAGGTCATGGGCTGGGGTCTGAATCCAGGTTTCTCAATCCCAGACACAACCACTCTGAACACTACATCACTAGGGAGTCAAGACTGTCAACTCACTCTCTAAAATCAGTACAAGCGCCTTACTGGGGGGAGCACAAGGTTTCATAGGCAAGCTTAAGAGAAATATAAGCTCTCTATTTTATTACTTAAACATATGCCTTAAATCCAGTTTGTTTCAACAGAATGCTACTTTATACCCATATATTAAAATGTATATGCTGGGCAGTTAGCTGGGTTGCTGAACTGAAAAAGCTAACATCAGGGCTCTAGTCGGATTCCACTAGGCAGGTACGGAGCTCCGGAAGAGAACCTCTAGGGGGCGGGGCGGTCACGTGGTGAAGCCCCGCCCCCTTCTTTACCCCGCCCCCTGCTTCGATCCTCATTCCGTTTGGGAATGAGGATGAAGCAGGAGGGTAAGTAGCCGGGCCTTCTGACACACTTCCGGTGATGTCAGGGGGTGTGGCCTTCTGTCACTTCCGGTGATGTCAGGGGGCGTGGCATATGCAAATAAGTTATGCTAATGAGTTATGCTAATGAGCTCCGGCAGCTCTTTTTCTACAACAAGACCCCTGGCTAACATTATTATACCTGTATTATTCCACTAGGAAAGGAACTACAGCATAGAATCTAACACACAAAAGAACAACGGAATAAGTTGACAAATATAGGAAGAGAATAAATTGCAAATGCATCTTCAACTGAAACCTGACACAAGAATCACCTTCTTTGAAATCCAAGTAGTCAAATCAGAACAGAAGAAATCACAGGAGATTTAAACCACTGAGTAAAAGGGCCAGTTTACATCTGATAGGTTTCAAATGTTCTGCATAGTATGTTGTGCACAGTAGCTAATCAAAATGTGGCACATAATAGCCAATGAAAACATGTTTACATCTAAAAAGAGCATTTATTATATCCAGAAGCATAATCTAAGACACCTATTGTGCTGACATTCCTTTACTACTACGGAATCTCCTTAGTGGAGCAGTTGTGATACTAAAGATTTCTGTTTATCTCTTTCCACATACTTGGACAATAAACGATATTACTAAATTTGGGGGGAAAACAGGTTGCTTACCTGTAACTGATGATCTTCGAGTGGTCATCTGTGCATTCACACCCATGGGGATTCAGTGCGCCTGCGCTGGATTGATCGGTATTGTAGCAAGCTCTAATGGATTTTCATGCCCAGACCTCAGGCATGCGCAGAAACCCCAACCACACATGCGTAGAGGGATGGGCGTGGACATCCCGCCAGTTCGGACATCCCTCCAGTTCCTTCAGACCGCCGCAAATCAACGTCAATAAAAACTTAGAAGCTGACAGCAGCGGGGAAGAAGGGTGGGAGGTGTGAATGCACAGATGACCACTTGAAGATCATCAGTTACAGGTAAGCAACCTGTTTATCTTCGACGTGGTCTCTGTGCTTCACACCCATGGGAGAATAGCGAGCAGTGGTCTACCTAGAGGAGGGTGCTGGCAGGTCATTACTGCAAAGCCGAAGATAAGATGTGACGTCCCATGTTGGTACAAGAGTTCTTGCGGACATCAAGGGCATAGTGCCTTATGAACGTATTAGGCGCAGCCCAGGTAGTGGCTCTGCAAATGTCCAGTAGGGGAACTCCCTGAAGGAAAGCAGTTGAAGCTGCAACAGCTCGAGTAGAATGAGCCCTGATAGAGCCAGGCAATGGCTGCTTGGCAATAAGATAGCAGAGGCAGATGAGACCTATAATCCACCTTGACAAACGTTGAGCCGTGATACAAGTTCCTAGCTTGGCTGGAGCATAGGAAACAAACAGCTGACCGTCACGTCTCATCGGACGAGTTCTCTGTAGGTAGAACAGAAGTGCACGCTTTGTATCCAACATGTGTAATAGCTTCTCCTCCGGGGATGTCAGAGAGGGGAAGAAATCCGGAAGGAAGACCTCTGCCTGGAGGTGAAACTCTGAAACTACCTTTGGCAAGAACGAGATGTCAGGAACAAGACAGACACCATCCAGCAAGAATGACAGGTAAGGAGAATCATGTCTGAACGCCAGTATTTCCCCCACTTGCCTCGTCAAAGTGGCAGCCACCAGAAAAGCTGTTTTCCACGGCAGCAATTTCAAGTCGCAAGTTCCGAGCGGCTCAAAAGGTTTTCTAGTGAGTTGGCGAAGTACCAGGGGAAGATCCCAGAGGTCCACAGGATGTTTGATAGGAGGCTAAAGGTGTAAGAGTCCATTTAAAAAACGTTTAGAAAGAGGATGCGAAAAAAGTGTGCAGTCCTGAGGCAGCGAGAGACAGAAGGAAATCAAAAACCTTCTCGAGACCCACGGAAGTGGCTCAAGGGACATCAACACCCGAACTTTAGCCATTTAGATGGCTAGAACAAAACTTTAGCCATTTATAATGGTAAGATTTGCGTGTAGTGGCTTTTCTGGAGTTCAGTAGCACATTCACTATACGGGAGGAAAAACTGTTGATACCACTCTCCAGGCTGTCAACTTCAGTCG